GTCTGATTCAAATCATTCAACTTCTCTGCTCCCTCCCCACTTCATCCCCAGCAATTTTTAAACATGTAAACGTGTACTTGCCTAGGGCCTTTCAGGATCCCTAAAGCGTTTAGGGTAAAATCCTCCCAAAGCCCCACTAAGCCTGGCAGGGTTGACCTCCGATGTATCTGAAACTCTCAGAGTTCCAGACCCAGGGAATCCCATCTTTACTCAGAACTTGTCATGGTCTTGTTTGCTTGCTGGTTTGGGAGCCCCTGGAATCTCTGCCTGGGACAGTGTCCAGTGTCCGTCTTTACCCCCACACTCTCAGTTTTCTTTCTCTGGACTTCCATTCTCTATGATCTGCTTCCGATGTAGCTGGGTTACTCTTTTGGGAATGCCTGTCCTTCCATAAATGGATTTTCACCGGCTCCCCATCCCCTGCGGGTAATGGGTAAGAGTGGAGCAGCTTAAGTTCAGATATCAGTCTGTGGAGAAGTACTTACTTGAGGCTTTTGGTTAGATTCCTAGTAGCACAAACCAAACCAAACCCGCCGTAGTAACGTGGGGAGAAGATGGCAGGAGGAAAAAGCCGTTTCCTGCTCTCAGTTCTTGCAGTTTCATGCCCAATCCACTCAGGCTGAGTTCACACCAGACTGCAGTGGGTTATGATTTATAGAGTCTCCTAGAAGCCACTGCCTGGAGCACACATAGGCCAGCTCCTCTGTAGCTGCTAATGAAAGACCTGGAAAATTGTTTATAGTGGGTTGGGCAATCTTAGGTCCGACCCTGCTCCCGTCACTCCTAGCCACTGAGTTGTTTATCTGTAAAATGGAGCTGATAACAGACCCACTTCGAAGGTTGTTGCCAGAATCCAGCAAGCTGCTGCCTTTCTTAATCACTCAATACAGGAGATGGGTTTTGCTATACTGCCCAGGTTGGTCTGAAACTCTTGGTTTCAAGTGATTCTCTTACTTGGTTGCCCCAGTAGCCAGAGACTATAGGCTCTTGATGCCTGGCACACAGCAAACTTACTGTCAACATCAAGGAACTTGAAATTTTAGCTAGCAGGGATCCCACTCTTATAAACCCTGAAACCATGTTTTGTCAACGTTAAGAAAAACTCCAAAAGTTTGTGTAGTTGATTTTTAAGTCACAGGACATGCAGATGCCTCCACATATTTAATGAGTGGTTGAGGGAAGGCACTGAACTAGGTAGGTTCCAGAGGCACAAAGATCCACCCCATCAGCCTGTACCAGTGAAGAGAGCCAGACAAATGTAAGCACAATGCAGCTACATGCATGGCAGGGATGCCCAGAAGAACATGGGAGTGTTTTAGGGCAGGAGTGCAGGGTGTGCCATGGAAGAAGCAGAGTGTTTGGGAAGCCTGGGGTGGATAGAAGGCAGGATGCATGAAGACCACCACTCACTCCCCTCTGGGATGTGACACTCACTGGGGTGACAATCCCCAGGCTGATCTCTGGGGCTGGGGATCTGGATGGTATGCAAACAGCTGACCAGACCTCTTCTGTATCAGACCCATTCAGGGTACACATTAGATCTTCCACAGAGTTCCTGATCCTCTGGATGGGTGGGCCATCCAAAGAAAGATACAGGAGACAAGCATTAACAGATTGCCCACCGTTTCACACACACCTGCATCCTTCATCCATCGGTGCTGTAGCTAAGGGTCCAGGACCCTGGGGATCAAGCCCTTGTCTTTAGGGAGGGGAGGGGTACCCTTCAGATCCCTCTTGGGGGTGTGGTCTCTGGAGACTGCATCTTCAGCATGTTGGTTGGGACTATATGATTCCCTCCTATTCTTCAGATGAGCGTTCTAAGAGGGGTGACCCTCTGACCTCTAGACCGCTACCCCCTCACACTACGAAGAAATCGCTGGGAAGGAGCTTTAAGGAGTGAGGACTCAATATAGATAAAGATGTAACTGGAAGGAAGCTTGGGGCTTAAAAGATCCTGGGGTCCTCTGGTTACTCTTGGGTAACTCAGCCAAGCTCAGAGAGGCCTCATTCAGGTCCAGGGTCCAGGACCGAGATGTGGGTGCCTGGCCCTGGAGGGAGGGGGGCACCGGCAAAGGGGTCAAGCTGAGCGAGCAGGCGGGGCATTGGGAGTGCTGAGTGGGGTGGGAGGGCGCAGGGTCCGGTCGGTGCAGAGTGGGGGGAGCAGCCCCCAGGGAGGGGCATGCTATGTCTTTAAGAGCTGCCTGAGCGCAGGTTGCAGCTGCCTGGCCAGCCCGAGAGACAGCGGAGATTCATTACCCGTCGACACAATGACCATTGATGGCCCCGTGGCGTTATTCAAATCCAGTACCAATTGCAGCCGAGCCCCTTTCTCCGCGCCAGGCCCGTATTGTTGGAGCGGCCCACTAAAAGCCCGCCCCGGCCCCAAGCCGCCAGAGGCGCCCGCTCGGGTTCAGCCCTGCGCCTCGCCAGCACGCCGGCTCCCAGTCCGGCTCCCCGGGCGCTGCAGGTGACCCGGCGGCACATTCCGGCGCTCCCCGCTGCCCGGGCTACCACCACCCGCGACTCAGCCACAAGGAAGCAGAGAGCGCCCGAGCCGGTGCGTGCGCGGGGCCAGGCTGGGGAGGGGTCCCCCTGAGTCCAGCATCCCAGAGCCGGGGCTCAAGAGACGCCACTGGCCTCGGGCACCAGTTTTCTGGATTCCCAGAGCCCAGCCCGAGGGCGGGGAGAGGGTACTGGGGTTCCCTGGGCCTGACAGGATATTCCTCTAAGCTGGGGCCGCCCAGAGACACAACGCGGGTTACTCTAGGGACCCTTGGCTACTATGGAAGGAAACAAGCCGTGGGGGCGATGGGGATGCCCTAGCAGGGCCGGGATCTGGACACCGGCTTGTCCACCTTACCGCGGGACGGGCTGCGATTGCCGAGCTTCTGTGAGGTATTCCGATATGCAGCTCCAGAGATCTGGTGTGCGCTTTTAAGGAGCCAGGCAGAACCCCGAGGGGGACCGGGGCCCTGAACTCAGGGGCTTCGCCACTGATTGTCCAAACGCAATTCTTGTACGAGTCTGCGGCCAACCGAGAATTGTGGCTGGACATCTGTGGTTGAGCTCCGGGCTCAACAGAGACGGGGCCACAGAGAGGAGGTCCACGCTGGGAGACCCCCTGGGCCGCCAGTCCCAGAAGGAGCATAGTGGCCCCAGACTGGCACGCAAAAGGGGGAAAAAAGTCCTTGCCACTGGCGCCGCCATCCTCATCCTCGCCTCTTTCCTTCTCATCTGTGGGTGACCCGTGTCGGCTGGCAGGGTCCTCCAGTCGATCACGCCTGGTTTCCCCGCTTTCAAATTTCGGCCGGAACGAAGCTGGCACACAGCGGTGGGACCCGAATGTGGTTCGTACTGCCCGTTCTTGGTCAGAACCGCAGTTCGTGGGGGGTGAAGGTAGATGCTAGCAAAATTCTTTTGCTAACTCGTTTTGAATATGTTTCAACCTGTCCCCTGACCAGTACCCCCAAACAACAACAAAAAACAAACCCGAAATCAACCCGCATATCCCAAACCAGCCAACCAACCCCTCCCACAAGCTCCTCTGGACCGACTGATGGGCTGTGCCTCCCGCTGCTGCCAGAAACCGACAAGCTGGGGAATGATGCGCTCCAGCCGGGCAATCGTCACGGCTTTGGAAATAAGAACTTGGACAAATCAATCCTTTTCATTAAAAAAAAAAATCTTCGGAGGTAGTGGAACTTGTTTATTTCCTCAAAAGAAAGGGCCACGAGATGCATGGGAGGGGGGCTGCTGGGCGCTGTTGGTGCTTAGTGAGTCACCTGTCTCTGACCCGTTTCTGCTAGAAACTAAGAAACACCTGAGTGGACTAGAGTGAATAGGCTCTGATCAATTTCCACAACGGCCCTGGCACCACATGGGGAAAGCTGGTTTCCTCAGCCCATCCTCCTAAATGCTAAGCATAAACTGGGGTGCCATAAAAGCAAGGAGCCCTACCCACACCCTCCCATCCATCAGCTGCATAAGGCATCCCAGCACTTCTGTCCAGTAGCTGAAGCCCAGGAACCAGGACAGGTTGACTCTAAAAATGTCATAGTACGAAAACTATGACAAGGCTTGACCTCAGCACACCCTCAACTGCACTTGGCCCCAACACTGGCTGTCCCTACCCACACAAGCCCAAGGGTCTGCTGTGCAGCATTGCCTGGGAACCGGCTCATAAGCAGGGTTGTTCTCCATGAGAATGCTCTCCATGAGAGTCTGTTGTTCTCTACGCCTCAACACTGGCCCACAATATTACACTCTCATCTATGCGAGGTGAAGGATTCCACCTTACTGACATTGTGAAAAGCAACATTTTGGGTCAGATGAAGCTCCTTCTGCAAGTTGTAAAGTCTGAGGCTCAGCAGTCTAACTTAGCAGTCTTAGTCCAGCCTCTTCTGAGTTCTGGGACAGCTGACTGCAGCTGGCAGAACAAAGCCTAGCTTTGGACTGGTTGATGGGCATCTCTGGCTTAGGATATGGGCTGGGCATTAAGGGTTTACACTCCCTCCAATCCAGAGGGTCCTACTGATCCACCCTCTCTTTGGAACAGTTCATGTTTTTACCTTTCAGGTGAAGGCCATCTCTGAGTCTGGGCTCAGAACAGGGCATTTGTATTAGAACCCACAGACCCGAAGGATACAGGGTACCGCCAGTCTCTAAGGATGAAGCAAGGCTAGTAAACAACTTAGTCTTTTTATTTGCCCAAGGCCAGCTGTTGCAGGCATGAAGTCTCCAGAGTTCCAGAAGGGATGGAAGAAAGGTGGGTGGGTGGGGAGACACAGCCTTCTGTCTACTAGGGGCTGTACACCCAAATCCTGCTTGTTTCAGGAGCCTGGAGTTATACAAGCTGAGGCCCTACTCCCCCTCTGCCTAAGGTTAGGCTACTTCCTTCCATTCTCTACCCTCAACAGAATGAGTTGTAGGCAGCCTGGAAAGTGTCTCAGGAGCCCATCTGGTGGCCTATGTGGGGGGGGGGGGGGGGCCCGCCCGGGTCAAGGGGCGGGGGCGGGGGGGACGGGGAGGAGGGGTATGGCTAGGAGAGCAGCTGCTGGGTGGCGGGGAGGGAGGTGAGCACTGAATAGGGGACCCCAGCTGGGGTTCCATAATGACATCAGTGGGGAACAAGCAGAGCTCTCTGTGTCCAGATGGGGAAACTGAGGCGGAAGCCCCTCTAATCTTTAGCAAGGGAGGGGCTTCTCATCAGTTACTCCAGTCCATCCATCTTCTCCATGAAGATGTCTCAGGAACTGGAGTGCCTTCCAGGCAACCACTCAGGGCTTAGATACACCAAGATTCAGGAGTGGCAAGCAGTTGGGTCACCTGGGCACAGAGCCCCCTCCACTCCTGACACAGCACAGGAGCACCCTCCCCCATCTCAGCTGCTGGGAGGAGTGCTGGGCTCAGGCGGCTGCTCTCCCTCCCAGCTCACGTGCCTTGCCCAGAAAGGCTCATTTTTAGCACCTGGCCTCTTTTCCCTGTTTAGAGGAAGCTCAGGGGTACATCAGGGAAGGAGGCAGCCAAGGGGGACTGAGGACCTGGAAGCAGATCCGAGGGGTGCTGTGGTTGTCCTGTGTTCCCCTTGCAAAGGTGCTTGGGCTCATGGAGGAGGCCTCAGCCGCCGTGCAGTGTGGAGATGAAGAGGATGCTGTCCTGGTCCTGCAGCTGGTAGTCCAGCTCCCCCTGGGTCAGGAAAAAGGGGCAGGGACCATCACAACATGGTCCAGGTCATTTCCAGGTATTGGGACACAGAAAGGTGGGTGCTCCAGGAAAGAAAGAAAACCCTCACCAGAAAAATGGAGAGCCTACACATCACATCAACTTTCAAATCTCCAGGAGGGGTAAGCTCCCAGTTTCCCTCCCTCATTTGAGACAGAATACAGGAACAGGCTCATTTGGGGGTGGGAGGAAGCATAAATGAGAAAGAGATTACCCAGCCCCGACAGAAGCCCAGGGTTTCCCACTAGAGCAGGGAAGGCAGGGGCTGGGGTGGTGTCACTGGACGTACTGACCAGCAGTTCCCAGTCGGCATCATTAATCAGCACCAGGATTCCTGGTCGCCTGTGGGAAAGAGGGTAGTGAGGAGCAGGAAGTAGACAGTGGGAGGCTCAATCTGTGGGGTGCAGGAATGTGGGGGAACCTTTCCTTCCGATTTCCCAACAAGTGAAAGCCACAGTCTACATGGTCAGGAAAAAAGGTCAGACAATCATGGTCTGGAGAGCATCTTAAAGAAAGTGGGCAAAGTCAGCATCACCTACTGCCTAGATTTCAGGAAAGGTGTTGTTAACTGTTGTACCTCTCCGAGGATCAGCCTCCTTCATGTGAAGACAGGGCCAATTATAAGGTCTGACCCACAAGGACTGTTGAGGGTACAACAATATAGTGCCCAGGGCTTGCTTGCCACTGTCTTAAGAAATTGTGTCTAGCTTGACTCTCCTAGGCTCTGGAAAGAAAGGGCTTGGGCTTCTATGTCTCCAGGGTACCTCTCCTGGACAGGATCAAGCACCTGATGCTTGAGTCTGTCTTGGTACGTACTGGCAATGGTCCAGGGAACACTGATGTCCTTGCAGGTGGCTTCCAGGACTGCTGTGGCAGAAATTGGGAGACTGGAGAGCAGTCCTGGGCCACAGGGGACCCATGCTTGAAGGCAGATGAGTCTCACAGTCTTGTGGCCCTCCTTTACACAGAAGACCATCCTTGTTTAGAAGTGAAAGAACTTGACATGAGGAACTTGGGCCTTCTCTAGCAGGTTGGAATGGGTGGAGAAATTCTCTGTGTCTAAGTGGACATATGCTTGCAGTGACCTGGGACCTTGTCTCTGTGGTGCCTCACGCTGAACCCATTGATCACATGTACCTATTTCAATGACAAAGGACAAAACTGGACTGTTTTGAATGATATTTAATTTTCAATTCTGTGTAAGTGTGTATAGATGACCGTGGGCACAGCAGAGCTACCCGGTGTGGGTACTGGCAATCACATCAGGGTCCTCTGGAGAACCAGCATGTGTTCTTTTTTTTTTTTTTTTTTTGGTTTTTTCGAGACAGGGTTTCTCTGTGTAGCCCTGGCTGTCCTGGAACTCACTCTGTAGACCAGGGTGGCCTCCAACTCAGAAATCCACCTGCCTCTGCCTCCCAAGTGCTGGGATTAAAGGCGTGCGCCACCACCGCCCGGCCAGCATGTGCTCTTAACCTCAGCCTTCTCCAGCCTGTGTCTGATTTTTAAGACAGAGTCTTGCTATGTCCCCACACTGTCTTCAAACTTGTGGCAAACTTATACTTGACCTTTCTGTTTTGTTTTATTGAGACAGGTTTGTTTGTTATTTTTCAAGACAGGGTTTCTCTGTGTGGCTCTCACTCTGTAGACCAGGCTAACCTAAAACTCAGAGATCCACCTGCCACTAACTGGGATTAAGAGCTGGGATTAAAGGTGTGTACCAACACACTTTTAAAATGGAGCACTTAGTTTCTCAGTCACTCTGGCCAACTTTGAAGGTTCAAGTAGTCACAAGTGGCAGCAGCTACCACCAGACAGCACTACTGAAGAGTGCTTCTGTCATTAAGAAAAGCCTATGGGACAGCTGTCCTAGACCAGGATGAGGGCAATACAGCTTTCATAGTATTTTTCTATACAGAGGATAAGTGAGGCCCAGAGAAGCAAAGTAACTCACCCGAATTTCTGCGCACATCAAGTCTGTGGTAACGAGAAGTATAATCCACATTTTTTGGGAAATTTTATCAAGCTTCCTTCATATGGATTTTTTTGTTTGGGTTTCATTTTTTGTTTTCAAGACTACATACATACTATTTTGAAACTCACTCTGTAGACCAGGTTCACTTCAAACTCAATGATCTGCCTGCCTCTGCCTTCCAAGTGCTAGGATTAAAGGTGTGTGTTTCAAATGGGTGTTTAATAGCCTCAAACAGCCTAGTGTGGTAGTAAGACAAATAGAAACAGAACTGAGCACAGCTCTATCTTCAGAGGAGTTCAAGAAAATATGGGCCAGAGGACTCAGGGGAGGAGACATTCAGAACCCCAGGACGTGGACTGAAACAGCCTCCCTCCCTCTGCCCTGCTCAGGGATAGGGGTGGGAACTCACACACTGTCTCCCTGGATAAACAGCTCTGGCCGCTCTTTTAGCAAATTCTTCTTGATCCAAACAAGGAGGTTCCGGATATCCCCTAGAGAGGGAGGCACAGAACAAACTGTCAAACTCAACTCATTCCTAGGCCTCAAAGCCGTGCCCAACACCAAAGGAAGTGAACATGGGGTTCCCAGGGCCCAGAAACCTGATTGACCTGTCAGAAACAAAAAAGTTCAGTTCCCAGCATCCACACTGGGTGGCTCACGACCACATATGCTTCCAATCCAATACCCTCTTCTAAACTCGGCATGTACATACACTCACATGCATATACCACATGTATGTATACATAATTAAAAATTATTAGAAAAAAGAACTCGGGGACAGAGCGAGGATGATGCTACCTCAACAAGGCTTCTTAGAGGGCATCAAAGACTGCCACCTTTATCTCTCTTGCCAGTCCAGCTGGGGAGGCCTCAGCTTTGCTCATGAGCAGGGTCTGCATATATTTCCCTTTGTAAGGGGAGAAAAACAATCGCTGAGCTGATAACATCAGTTAATTTCCTCTAGCAGAGGGAAAAAAGGCTCCTAACCAAGCAGACACTGACAAATCACTTTTGCAGAGCCCTGGGGGCTGGCCACCTTGACTAGGCAAGAGGTTCTGGGCTGCAAGGGCCTCCCCTGATATGCTGCCACCCAGAGCTGCCTCTGGTGGGATGGCCACCAGTCTCTGTGTAGCACGTGGAGGCAGTGGTCTCCAGGGTTACCAGGGTTATCTGTCCTTTCCTAGGAGGACCAACCTATAACAAAGCAGAATTGCCCCCCGCCCCCCAGCACCTCCACCTCCTTCTATACTCAGGTTATTCCTGGGGCTCTTTGGAGGTCCTGCTCTCAGAGGTGACTTGACAAAGAGCCCAGAGAAACAAGTGGCATTTAGAAAGCCCTGGGGGAGGGGGAACTGTCCTGAGTCAGTGTCTTAAAAAGTCAGTGTCTTAAAGAGGTCTGCTGCCTTTGATGATGCCTGAGACAAAGCTCTGAGGCTAAGCTGAAGCAAGTTGAGTGTGGCCTAAGAAGTCCTGCCTAGAGCCCAAAGTCCTGGAATAAAGGATTGCTAGTACACAGGGAAGTTTCTCTGCTCCCAGTATGAGCTTCACACTGCAATGCATATGCAGGTCTAGTCTTGGGTAAGGCCAGGAGGTGGGAAGGTGCAGCGGACACAAACATCCTACAGGGCAACAGGCAGTGTTCATGGACTAAAACTGTCATCTCACAATTTAAAATTCCCTTTAAACAAAGCAAGTGTGTAGTCTCCTAGGCAAGGAAGAAGGGTGCTGCCTCCCTCAGGCTGCACTTGGGCTCCTGGGCTCCTCCCCAAGGCCCAGGTTGAGAGGCTTCCCCTTGGCCTCCATCTTGGCACTGTCTGGTGAGCCTCTAGCCCATACATCTTATGGCTGTTCGATTGAACCACTGGAGTCTGACACATCCATCAGCCAGCCTCAGCCAGCCTCAGCAGCCAGAGCTGTGCCTGGGTGTTTAGACATAGAAGGAAGAACCGGGAAGAGATTTGCCCAATGACCACAGGCTGTATCTGACAGTCCAGGATTCTTCTGGGGACAAGCCCTGGCTCCCTCCAAAAAGAGTGTGCTTCTGATCCACTCTAGATAGTTCAGGAGTGGGGAAAGGCTAGTGGTCAGGCTGGGGTCATCCACTTGATGACACTGCCATGGACTCCCAGAGGGGTGGGCTGGGGGATGAGTCTCTGCTCAGTGCCGGCTCATTTATCATGATGCTCCTATTTGCTGAGGTCACTCCCTCCCTCTTTTGCCTGCCCCACTCCAAGCCTGCCCACATTTTTGATAGCTTGTTACCATGGTGAGGCTGCTGTATCACAGCAGCCTGTATTGTCCCTATGCCTGGATTTGGGGGTGGGGAGAGGTGGGACTCATGGCTCCCTTCTCAGGCTGCAAGGGCCACTCAGACTGGCCTAAAATGCACCCCCGGGGACATCTTGCTTGGCTTGCTGAGGCCCAGACAATATGCAAATAGGCTCCAAGCCAGATGGTCGGCTTCCAAAGGCGCCCAAGGGAGGAGGAAGGGTTAAACAGTGTGGCTTGGGGTGGCTCTGGAATAGATAGGGGTAGAGAACCTTACTTTCACCTTCCACCTACCTTCCTCCCTTCTCACTCCTCCTGAGGCTGCCATTCACAAGGCAAACATTTATTGAGCAACTATCCTATGGCAGGCACTAGGGTGCTGATGGGGCCAGCAAGATGTATACAGAGCTTTCTTCATGAAAGAAGGGAGCAGACATTACTTAACAGTGCTGTGTGCTACCTCCTTTGGGACCAGGAAAGGCCTTTCCAAGAGCGCTAACAGTGATGCTTAGGCCTGAAGGATGAATGGGCTTGGATGGGGATAGCTTTCTGGACAGAAGAAGCACATATGGAAAGAGCTGAGACACTATGCAACTGGCAGGTTCAAGGCAACAGGATGCAGAAGGCAGGAGGAAGAGCATTAGAGGCCCCAGGAAGACGACCTACTCTGGATGAGGTTGTTCCCCCCGAACCCTAGAAGGTGAGGTGTGCAACCCCTGGACACATGTTTCCATGCTTCTCTGTCCTGCCACAGAACATGGTGCTCCCACTACAATTCCCAGAGTGAAGCCTGCAGGCTCAGGGATGCTGCTGTCAAAACTCTATTCCATGATGCCAGTGGGAGGGGGAAGGTGAAGAACATAGAAATTGGAATTGGACAGTCTTAACTGTCTACCTTAGACAAGAGTCTTGTGTAGCCAGGCTGGCCTTGAATTTGCTATGTAGTCAAGAACTCCCAATCCTGGGGCTTCTACCTCCTAAGTCCTGGAACTACAAGTATGCATCACCATGCCTGCCACTTGTAGTTTAGAGTTGGACTCCGTTTATTCCTAGTTATACAACCCCAGGAAAAGAGACTCAAGAGCCTCACCTTTCCTTTAAGGAAAAAACTAAAAAAGCCAGGTGGTCGTGGCGCACACCTTTAATCCCAGCACTTGGGAGGCAGAGGCAGGCGGATTTCTGAGTTTGAGGCCAGCATGGTCTACAGAGTGAGTTCCAGGACAGCCCAGGCTATACAGAGAAACCCTGTCTCGAAAAACAAACAAAAAAAAAAAAAAAGAAAGAAAGAAAAAGAAAAGAAAAAAGATGTAAGAGTGCATTGCTGGTTAGAGCGATGGCTCGGTGGTTATGCACTTGCTGCTCTTCCAGGACTAGTGTTAGGTTCCCAGAACCAATGTTGGGCAGCTCACAACCACCTTCAGTATACTCAATACAGCACAAGGATCTACTACTTATTTCTAGTCTTCTCAGGTAGGCACACACTCTCTTCTCTCATAAATATACATAAATATAGAAAAATAAAGCTTTAAACAAACTGAAGCCCAGGTCTGACTCCAACACTCACACTGCGGTGCACCATCACTTGCAATTCCAGTCCCTGGGGACCCGACGCCCTGCTCTGCTCTGCTCTCTGTGGGTACCAGGCACGCACATGATACACAAATATGTATGTAGGGAAAACGCTCTACACATAAACTAAAAACAATTTTTTGAGAAAAGAATGTGTTGTTATGGGCTGGAGAGATGGCTCAGTGGTTAAGAGCATTGACTGCTCTTCCTAAAAGGTCCCGAGTTCAATTCCCAGCAACCACATGGTGGCTTACAACCATCTGTAATGGAATTAGATGCCCTTTTCTGGCGTATCTGAAGACAGCAATAGTGTACTCACATATATAAAATAAATCTTAAAAATCTTAAAAAAAAAAAAAGTGTTGTTATAAGAATCAAATAAGATAATCCCAACATGATTCCTGGAGCTGTGCCTAGACTATCAATTATTCCTGAATCCAGGGAAAGAAACCGTCTCCTCTAGACTCTCTAGTATGTCGGTTCTTTACGTGCTTTGTCCATTGCCTGGTCCCTAGCCTTAGCGAGAGGAGTACCACTGCTCAGATAGTCCTGGGCTTTCCATAGATGACATGTGCACACAGAAAGCAAGATGTCAGCAACAGAAACGGGAGCAGGTACAGCCACACAGTGGTGTGCACTCTAATCTCAGCATCCAGGAGGCAGAGGCAGGTGGGTCTCTGTGAGTTCAAGGCCAGCCTGGTCTATACAGTAACTTCCAGGACAGCCAGGGCTACACAGAAAAACCTTGTCTCAAAAAACAAACTAACAAACAAAACAAAAACCAAACAAACTACAGAAAAGAGAAGGTGTGGGGCCCACACACTGGTCTTATTTCCCAGGTTGCCCAGGCTGTCCTGAGTTCTACCTCAGACAATCCTCCTGCCTCAGCCTCCCATGTAAAGTTGGGGATATAAGCACATGGTGCCACTCCTACCATCTTCCTCCCATTTTAGGTGTCTAAGATGCCAGGGGCTGGTCAAGCCTCTGGGCAGGCTGTGTGGGAAGACTCCCATTCCAAGGCTGTGCATGCTACAGCCAGCGGTGAACTTAGTACCAAGAAGGAAGAATGTACCCCAATGCAGGTTCCCAGTGCATCTGTCTGGGGACAATGGGGAGAGAAGCTGCTGCTTTGTAACAGACCAGTTAAAGGCCAAACAGAGAAGGCTTACACGGAGGGCTAGATAGTCTCCAGCAAGAAATCATTTCACTTCAATATATTAGTATCATTTATCCTGACAGATGTGGATGAAAATCAACATCCAAAAGTGTTGCTATGAGTACTGAGACAAAATGCTCGCAGCAGCAGGCCATCAGCATCAAACAGGGGCAACTCTCTCTCCACAGATGGCTGCTCTAAGCTGTGTACTCAAGTGACTCTGCACTGCAAGAGCCCTGACCCACAGGTGGCTGTGTCGTGGAAAACATGCTGTGCCGATCTTAGAGAACAACGTGGTGGTGAAAGCCAGGAAGTCCAGTACTTGGGAGGTTGAAGCAGGAGGATCAGGTCATCCCTGGCCACACAGCAAGTTTATGGACCAGCCTAGGCTCCAAGAGACTCTACCTCAAAAGACTTAGTGGGGGGGGGTCACAAAAGAGAAGATACTCAAAGTCTATTATATACTTGTATGAAAATGGTCTTGGGTAACCTTGTATGATAAAATAAGAAAAAAAAACCAAAACAAACAAACAAAAAAAAAACCAAGGAACTCCCTGCCAGAATCCCTTGCCCACGTGAGCCTTCCTTGCTTAGGAGATACTGATAGCCCACACTGGCAGGGCTCCTTAGAGCAGTGGTTCTCAATCTGTGGGTCATGACAACCTTGAGGCAGCAGATAGATATCCTGCATATCAGACATCCATATCACAATCCAAGTAGCAAATTACAGTTATGAAGTATGGCTGGGGTCACCACAACATGAGGAACTGTATTAAAGTGTCCCAACACTAGGAAGAAACCACTGCCTTAAAGTGCCAATACCAGCCCTCAGAGCTGAAGAGATTAATTTCTCACAGGGACAGGGCTTGCTCGTTTAAACTGCTCTCTCCCAAGTGGAAGTCTGTCCTCCACCACTCATATCCACTGGGCCTGCTGGAGCACAGGACCCATGCCAACTAAAGTGTCATCTCATCTCTACCTGGACCCCTAAATCTCACCCATAAGTTAAAGTGTCCCTTTCCCTAGCAAGTGTAAGCCTAGGCTCCAAGGCAGGGCTCTTCTAGGATTCCCACCCCAGGCCTGAGCTAAAGGAGAAGAAAGGGCTGGCATGGGAGGAATGAAAGAGAAGAGGGGTGGAGGGAACCTCAGAGGCTCCATTTACAAGTGAATGGGGGTAAGAATGGAGCAGTTTGTGGGCTAAACTGGCCTCAGAAGGAGGTTTACAGATGTGTGAGGGGACGCTCCTCATTGTTTAATTAAGCAGAAAGTGGATCTTTTCAAAAGCAATTTTGCACAGGGACTGGGAAGGGAGGGGAGAGGAGGGAGGTAGGACAGGGATCAGCAAACAGGCCTGGAGAGCAGAGAAAGGAACAGCTGGCCCCAGAGAGGCTGTGAAATGCATGCTAAGCAGTTTAAAACGCCCAGGAACTGCTGCTCAGCTCCTGCCCTCCCTTGCTAGCTACCCTTTAACATGACTGGAGCACAAGTGGAATATTTCTGTGAAGGTGCAGCAGAGGAAAAGGGCCAGCCTGGGCTAAATAGATAGGGCTCCTGTGTCAATCAGTCAAAAAATCAACTAACTAATCAAACAGTAGAAATGGCAGGCACCTCCTAGGTCAGCAATGAGCAGGAACCAGAGCAAAGAAGGCATCAAAAACACCTCTAGCATCATGCAGAGGAACTACTCAGGCACCACTTGCTGAGTATTCAGTGAGTGACATGGGGAGCAAACTCTGAAAACGTGGGTATTTTTGTGTCAAACAAACTGTTAGAGGAAATAGACCATAACTCGTGGTATTTATTTTGGATATAGTCTCTTATGTCCCAAGGCTGGCTTTGAGGTCACTCTAACGTCCAACTTCTAGCTGCTCCCCACCACCACCACGCCCAGCGGGAGCCCTGATTTACTCAGTGCTCAGAGGGAACAAAGGGCTTTGAGCATGCTAGCAAACCTCAACTAAGTTACAGCTGCAGCCCAAACTGGCATTTAATAAACTCCTTTTTTTTTTTTTTTTTTTTTTTTTTAAGCTAGACATAGCATGCCTTTAACCCCAGCACTTGGGAACAGAGGCAGGTAAATCTCTGAGTTTAGTGACTTCTGAGACAGCCAGGACTACACAGAGAAACCCACCACTAACAAAAAACTCCTTTTTGTTGTTTTGTTTTTGAGACAGGGTCTCACTATATAGCTCTGGTTGTCCTGGAACTCACTATGTAGACCAGGCTGGCCTTGAGCTCAAATTCAGCTACCTCTGCCTCCTGCAGGCTGGGATTAAAGGTGAGCACCACCATGCATGGCCTGATGTTTTAATAAACTTCTAACCAGGTTTTAGGAGCGAGTCTTGGAGAGGCTTCATCTGAGAATTCCTTGTTTCCTCTCAAGGCCACCAAGGCTATGTGACTGTCAAACTACAGTCACCTCTATTATCTGTGGATCTTCCCTAACAGAAACACACAATCCTGCTACCCTAACATTTAACTCTGGCAACTTTCTGTCCCAGCTCAAGGCAGTCAGTGTGTTCTTCAGGCCATAGTGAGTCAAGCAGGCAGACCTGTGAAAATTAACTCTTTACTACCAACAACCACCAATCTGAAAGCAAGGACTGAAAAACACAATGAAGACAGGGACAGGCTCTCCTAGCTCACGCTGGTCTTGCTGGGTGTGGTTTACCATGGAAGAGGTGCTCAGCATAGCTATTCAGGAAAGGCTACCAAGTATTTGCTGAAAACCTCCTCTCTATTTAGGCACTCCCCTCAACCCAGACACCTGGCTCTTCCCGGCAGGACACTTTTGGTGGCATTAGGGATTAATGGAGGGCTTTGTGCATGGCAGTCAATTACTCTACCACAGAGCCACATCCCCAGCTCCAAAGCTTGTTTTTAACTTACTATTTTTTCTTTCTTGAGAAAGAAAACTCATGCAATTTTCTTTCTTACTTTTCTTTCTTTTTTGGTTTCCCAAGACAACGTTTCTTGGTATAGCCCTGACTGTCCTAGAACTCACTCTGTAGGCCAGGCTAGTCTTGAACTCACAGAGATCCAACTGCCTCTGCCTCCCAAGTGCTGGGATTAAAGGTGTACGCCACCACTATCCATGGCAATTTCCTTTCTTTTTCCCTTTATTATTTTTTTTTAAGTCCTTTCCCCCGCTTCCCTTCTCCCTCTCACTCCGGCCTTACTCAATCTGGCCCAAAGGTTTTATTTATTTATTATTTACTTACTTACTTATTTATTTATATGTAAGTACACTGTAGCTGTCTTCAGACACTCTATAAGAGGGCATCAGATCTCATTACAGGTGGTTGTAAACCACTATGTGGTTGTTGGGATTTGAACTCAGGACCCCTTAACTGCCAAGCCATCTCTCCAGCCCTTTTCCCTTTTTTATTATGTATATGTATATATGTGCACATGTGTGTGCCATGATACACCTACATGGAGGTCAAAGAACAACCGGAGGGAGTCTCTCCTACCATATAGGTCCTGAGAATCAAACCAGGTTACCAGGTTTGGTGGCAAGCATCTTTTTGCTGAGCCCCTCCCCACCCTTGTTTTGAGACAGGATCTCTCTCTGGCTATCCTGAAGCCTGCTGGGTAGACAAAACTATTCTCAAACTCACAGAGATCCTCCTGACTCTGCTACTGACTGCTGAGATGAAAGGTGTGTGTTACCATGCCCAATTTTTTTTAAAGAGTCATTTATTTTATATATACTAGTAAGTTTTTTGTTTTGCTTTGTTTTTTGAAGACAAGGTCTCAAGCTGGAAAGTGGTAGCACACACCTTTAATCCTAGCACTTGGCAGGCAGAAGCAGGCAGATTTCTGAGTTCGAGGCCAGCCTGGTCTACAGAGTGAGTTAGTTCCAGGACAGCTAAGACTACATAGAAAAACCCTGTCTCGAAAAACAAAACAAAACAACAACAAAAAAAGTGTTTTGCCTGCATCTGTCAGCACACCTCAAGTATGCCCAGTGCCCCGGGGATCAGAAGGTCTTCAATCCCAAGACTAGAGTTACTGATGTGTGGGTGTTGGGAACAACATCTGAGCTGTGCAAGAGCAGCCAGTGCTCTCAACAGATGAGCCATCCGTCCAGCCATCTCCATGTGAAGACCAACCTCCCACTCCTTCCTTCAGAGGTGGTCAGCCCCAGCAAGGAAGGTAAAGCATACTTTACAGTCCCGTTTTGCCTTGTTACCAGCCACAGCAACCCAAACTATCTCCACTTAGACCATAGAGCCACTCATGCCCAATGGCCCCAGAGAGCAGGCATGAAATCCAATACTCACAGGGTTCCTCCTGCCCAGGCAAGGTGACTTGATGCTTTCTTACTCCATCAAACAGGAGCTCCGCACCACCTCTACAAAGGAAGCCCAGAGAAAGACAGCTAAGTACTGCTCATAGGACTGAGATGAGTCTCATAACTGTGGTAAAAGCTGAGGAGATGCAAAAACCAAGGTTCAAGAACAGCAGAGTAACTAGTGACTGCCTCTCAAGATGCCTTTTTACTGTGGTAAAGTTAATGGAAACCATTTTCACTATTAGTGGAACCCCCAAGCTTGCAGCCTCCTTGACTCCTCTGCTTTCTTGAGAGGCAGTTTAGTACACAGCAGTAGAATACAGGCTTTGGAACTGCCTGCCCAAGAAGGAAACTAGGCTCTACCTACCCCTGCCTGCCAGTCAGACCTTTAAAAGCCTTGATCTTATTCCAAATGTTGCTGAGGCGCCTTCTGGGGTGCTCTGGAGACCCTGTGCATTTCTGGCCAGATAAGGTGGAAATAACCCTGTTCCTGCTCACTGCCACAACACTACTGAGCACACAGTAACAGGGGCAGAGAGAGCCCACTGGGGCTGGCACTGACTAAGAACCAATCATATCACCTTGTCAGTTATAGGGTGATCCTCATCCCATCTCATTCTCTAGTCATCCCAGGGAAGGAAGGAGGAAGCAGACATTGTTAATTTCATTTAACAAAGTGGAGAAACCTCCTAAAGCCCAGTTCTCTGGGCTGGGGAAGGGTGATAAGCTGGGTTAAGAAACCCCAGAGCTTTTTCTGAGATCCCCCAAGAGCAGAGTTCCTTTTGTTTCTGCATCCCAGGACCTAGCCAAGAGACAGTCAAGACAGGAGAGATGCTCAAAGCCAGGACTTCAGTGTAGGCAGTAGGGCCTTCAGTGTCCCACACTACTACTTTTTGTGGGTTTCCTGATTCCCATCTCAGACTTCATGTGGGGTTGAACTGAGAAGGCCTTAACAGACATTTGATGGATGTGATGTTTCCTACCCCACCACCCTTTTCCAATCTCAGGGAACAGAGATGTCCTGAGGCAGCCCACTAGGAGGCAAAAGCAAGGCAAACATTGTCATGGGGAAGACATGGGGCGACTGTCATCTAAACAAGGTCACGCTTTGTTGATGCAGAAATGTGGAGGGGGAGCAGAGGCCCATCTGTGGCTGTGCGCAGGGCCATTTCAGCTGCAAGCCCACACAGAGCCTCCATTTATTCCCTTCCAAGAGCTTCATTTCTGCTGGGTAGGGGTTGGCACATGCAGCAGCTGGGCTGGGGGAGGGTCATAAGCAGGGGGTTCAGGACTTGAGGGTCAGAAGAGGGGTGGGAACTGGAGGCAAATAATCAAGAGTGGCCAAACCTGGTAGTGCCAGGCTCTGAGGTCGGATCTGTTTTTCCTCCTAGAGGAAGAGCAAAGCACTGAGGCTTTGAGTGACCTATCACTGTTGTTGGCCAGGTCCGGAAGGAGAGCCTAGTACTTCCCTCAGCACAACTGGAGGGATAGAAAGGCACATCTAACCTCAGCGCTGAATTAGTGAGGCAGACATGGGCTGTTGTGGCCCCAGAGACCTAAGGCCAAAGTTTCTTTTGTTTTATAGGATTTGCCATTCAAACTTAAATCAAGATGCTTCCATCTTCTTTCAATACCTCAATTCCTGGTGTGATCTGCTAACACCAGTGACAGGTGTGTATCTTGGGAAATAAGAAGCAGAAGACACAAGAATTCAATATCTTCAGCTACATAGTAAGTTTATGGCTGGCTTATGTTACATGAGACCCTGCTTCAATAACCCATCAACCAACCAACCAACTAATCACCACCACCACCCACCAATCTACCCGTCCACGTTTGTTCTCCGGAACAAACCTCACGGAACACAAGTAGCCTCTAAATTAAATAAGGCCTGGCATACAGCAGAAATTTAAAAAAATATATTTGCCACATCAATGAATATGACGACGACTTCTAATTCTCTGATCTCAATAGTGTGTCCAGCCTCCCTTCCCAAACTCAGGGAAGGGAATCTCATATCTAGGTCATTACAGTGTTGAAATGATGGACCCCAAACATGCCTGTTCTGTACTTCCAATTCTGTGTGTCCTCAAAATATGCTCTGCTAGGGCTAGGAAGCGAAGCTCAGTGGAGCGCCTGCTGTGCCTTCAGGAAGTCTTGGATTCCATCGTCAGCACTGCAGACTGGGCATGATAGTACATGCCTGTAATCTCAGCACTGAAGAGATCCTCTGCTACCTACTGAATTTGATATACTGGCCAACTTGGATATCATGTCTCAAAAAAAAAAAAAACCAGAAGAAGCCTGACGGCCGTGGGGCACACCTTCAATCCCAATGCTAGGGAGGTGGAGGCAAATGGATCTCTGAGTTCCAAGACAGCCAGGGAAACCCTGTCTCAAAAAACAAACAAAACTGCCTCTGATACCACAAGTTCAGGAGGCCAAAAGATGACAGAATTAGTCCAAACAAGAAAAAGATGAGATGCCTTTTATAGGACCTGACAGTGCTGGTGGCACCAGGAGGATCCCGTCTGCCCAGTGCTTAGAGACAACAATTTCTAGACTTCTAGGACCAGTGAGGAGAAAATGATGAGCATTACAGATCCTTTGAAATCCTTTCAGATTCACAGTAAAAGGTGAAGCCTATCTGTCAAATGACACAATCAAAGGCCAGAGGTAAAAACATGTAAGATGACTGTAAGGGTGGCACATGCCTATAATCTCAGTATTCAGGAAGTAGGAATAACTCAGCTAACATAGCAAGCTTGAGGCCAACCTGAGCTGTATCATGAGCTTCAGTCTCCAAACAATGCTGAAACAGGAGGACAGAGAGAAGGCTTCTGGGTTTGACAAGTATATTTATTTATGGAAAGCCTTCTCACTATGTACCTAGCCTCAAAATTACAAAGATCCAACTGCCTCTGCATTCCAAATGTTGGGATAACATGAGCCACCATGTCCAGTGAAGCTGCAATTCTGAGGGGTCACTTATCTGGGGAGGTGTGGAAGGAGATGCACTCGTGGGTAAAGAATGCTGTCCTGTCCTTGCTGAAAGTCAATATTGCTCTTAGAGGCAAAGAAGGTGGAGGCTAGAGAAGCAATTGTATAGGTCTATAAACTCTGAGGGCAAGGTCTTATTTACTTTATGACTTCCTTACTGTTGCCAGCACAGTATCTGGCAGAAAGAACACGTCTCTGCTGAGTAAACACCAGGTCTCACTGAGTGAGAATGAAAGGCAAGTTGGCTACCAATAGACATTAACACTGAGAACCTGTAGCTTCTTCCTTTTCAGTTTTCCTGAGGCTAGGTCAAGACATCAGGAAGTCCCCTCCTAGCCTCAGTCTGGGAGGTGGGAGGGCAACGTGTTAGCTGGGCTAAGGTTAGACGAGGTAAAACAGGAGGTCAGACCAATGTAGTTCTAATTGGATCCAACCATGGAGACAATATCATTAATTACACTGCACTTAACATTCATGAGACTATTCCCTTCCAAGGGACAGACATGCTAACACTGCAGGGAATAGACAGAGTGCCATTTATCTTTGTATCCTTGGTGTCTGGCTCACTGCCTGGCACATGGTAGACACTCAATAAATGACTGGTGAATGAACTGCTCAGTGAAGAGACAATATGAAAGGAATGGGGGCATCCAAGGGGAAGGCATTTGGAAGGAATTTTACACTTCTACCCTAGTTTTTCCTTCACTTCAACCTTGGCTTGTTCATCTATACACACACACACACACACACACACACGTTTTTCTATGATTTAGAAACCAACAACCCATCTCTAGAAGCCTCAGTTCTTTGTCTGTTCTCAGCTCCAAAGTCTGTCTTCTGCAGGTTTTGAAACCACGACAGACATTCTGTGTATTGGAAGAACAAAATAATGATTTGAGACGATTTTCACTTTTCCTTGTGTTCCTTCAAGTAATGATGTGTACCCCAATTCTGGACCTTTTCACCGTGTGCATAATATACTGCCAATGTTGGTCTCTCCCTCCATAGCGTCTTATTTATCCCTGTATCTCTTCTGGACTCTGCAGAAGGCACTTACCAAACTACTTTGTAAGAGATTAAAGTCTAATTAAAATTCCAAGGTTTGAGAAAAAGAAGGGTCCTATCTTGGTCACATCTTCCTCTAGGAAGAAACTAGGCGAGAACTGCTGCCTGGAGACAGAAGTGAAGATGATTCAACAGAGACTCGTGTTCCCTTAGAATCTCAAAAGTCAGACATGGTGAGTCGGGCTCGGAACGGCACTAGAAAAACATGCTGAAAGACGGCCTGCTCACTGTCATGCCTCTGAGTTCTACACGATGCAGACCAAGGAGAGGGAATCCAGACGCATCTCCCTACCCGTGTGTGCGTCTCTATTCTCGGACTCAGGGCCTCGTCGCCCACGGAGACTGCGCCAGTCAGAGGCCAAGGGGTTATCGTGGCTCTCAGAGGACGACAGTAGCCTCTGCAGGCCGAGGGAGATCCGGAGTTTCAGGCCCTATGGCTTCGCCCCTTCCCCACGACGCCCCAGCTCTCACTCACCCGAACTCCACCTCCACACATAAGGGCGCCGCCATGTTGAGGAAGCCAAACTAGCAGGACACGCCCTTTAACTTCCGGAGCGCCCGCTTATTTCCGGTCGCCACCTGGTAGCGTAAGCGGAAAAGGCGGTACCTGGCGGGGGTAGGGGGCGGCCCCAGTGGGCTGGGCAGTTGAATGTGTAAGTTATTTGCAGACGTGGCTAAAAACCTGAACAAGAAAGAAGAAACTCCCTGAAGAAAGACGTCTTAGGGGCAGAAACTCATCACCGTCCGATGACACGATTGTGAGCCACGTACTGTTAATCTTTCATTGGTTACAAGTCTGTTTTCAAGCCAGGCGTGGTGATACACGCTTTTAATTCTAGTCCTCAGAAAGGCAGAAAAGTGGATTATGTGAGTGCAAGACCAGCCTGATCTTCGTAGGGAATTCCAGGGCTCCCAGGGCTCAAAACTAAAACCAACAAAGAACCCACAAACAATCCTGTCAACCCTGTCTTAAGCTAACACATTGCTTAAGATACGTGGTATCTCCAAATTCTTGTTTCTGACCCAGTTGCCTCTCTCAGGAGCTGCCATCTTACTATCCAGACATCTGTGTCAGGTGGTGATTTGTATGTCTTCTGCTCCGCGGTTATTGAGTTAACAATGTGTCTGGCAGATTGTTTGATCCTGTGGAGAGAGTAATAAAGGGTGTAACTAAAGTTCCTGTCTCTAGGTCTCTCAGTGTAGCAGGGAGAAGGGGAGACACCTATAATCAAAAGTGAGATCCTAAACTGAAATAAGTTTTCTGAAGTTACAGAATCAGTTATTACAGAGATTTGTGAAAGAAAACATTAGGGCTGTGGAGATGACTCATCTGGTAATGTGCTTGCTGGCAAGTGTAAGGATCAGAGATAAGATCTCTAACACCCACTTGAAATGATGGGTGGACTTGACGGCCTGCCTGAAAGGCCAGTACTGGGGAGGTGAAGATGGCCTCCTCAGGGCAAGCTGGTAGGCTGCACTAGCCAGTGAACAAGCTCTGAGTTCAAGAAAGACCCTGCCTCAATGCATAAAATGGTGGACTAGAGAGATGGCCCAGAAGTTAAGAGCACTAGCTACTCTTCTAGAGAACCCAGGGTTAGTTCCCAGCACCCACATGGCAGCTCAGAACTGTAACTCCAGTTCCATGTGTAAGACTCTAGCAAGCAGAGCCTTAGTTTACTGGAGACCCCCTGAGTGAACCACGCAGAGATGAGAGATCGCTACAAAATGCAAGAGTTTTTAATGTTCCAGCATGCTAGGGCCATCCTGCATTCCAAAAGGAGAGGCGACCCAGTGCTGCTCGTTCAGTGAGCTTTTATACAGTCCTTAGTGAGCAGCCATTAGGCACAATGTGACTGGCAAAACAGTGTGACTATTTAAACTGATTGGTCTCTATTGAATGAGATAGGAAGGACTTCCATTGTCCATTGTAGGTGGCAAGGGTCTGTCCATCCTGTGGAATGTGTCTAGTGCTCTGGTCCTTCCCCACCCGCAGGTGGTCTCCCTTCCATGTGGTCTGAGGAATGTTAGGCCTCTCTCTTCCTCCTTTGACTGTTAATCCAGCAAATGTCCTTTGACCAAGGAATGTTAATTAGCCTTTCCCATCTGAAGGGGCCGGGGTGGGGGAACAAGTGTTCCAAAGTTGTTCTTCATTCCCACCTTTTCTTTGTGCATGCTTCAATCTTGAAGCTATTGGATGCTTCTGCAGCTTCTGTCTCTGACCCTCTGTACCTAGCTCTTGATATCTTTTTTTTTGTTTTTTGTTTTTTGTTTTTTTATTTTGGTTTTGGTTTTTTGAGACAGGGTTTCTCTGTGTATCCCTGGCTGTCCTGGAACTCACTCTGTAGCCCAGGCTGGCCTCGAACTCAGAAATCCGCCTGCCTCTGCCTCCCAAGTGCTGGGATTAAAGGCATGCGCCACCACCGCCCAGTTCACTAAATCTTTTAATGACTGCAGTCCCTCTAGCCTCTGAAGCTTTTTCCTGATATCTACTAGCCTGGTTTATAAAGGCCACAGTGTGTACTGACAGAATGCCTCTGTGAGCCATTCTAGAAAGGCTGTGGGAAACTCATCTGATCCCTGCCTTGGTCAAAATTGGTGGGGCCTCATGTGGCCCCCTTGAGACCTGCCAATGGAATCTGGCAGTAGGCTTATAAGTGCCCCTTACCTTCTGCCACACTAAAGTCCCAGTCAGATCTGGTCAGAAGAAACCCACTCTCAACCACAGCCTGTTCAATCGATGGTGCCCCATGTCTGAGGGAACATTCTTTCTTTCCAGTGTCCTCTCTTGCTCTTCAGTCTAGACTCATCTCACCCTCCCCAGGACATTCTTACACTGCAACCCACATCCCCACCTGCACCCCCTGCCGCTCGTCAAACTTTCTCCTATCTTCACCAACTCTTTCATCCTAACAGCCAAGCGTTGTCTTATTTTGTTAAGACCAACCTACAGCCTACTTCTGAGGACTTAAGTTTCTTAAAATCTATCACTGCTTCTTGCAAAATCTGTCAGATGTCAGATCCCAACTCAAGGTATCGGAGCACCCCTTTTCCCACCCATCAGGCTAGAGGTTCCTTTCCTGGAACTGACTGGCAACTTGACTTTACCCACATGCTCGCTGTCAAACGTGCCAAGTACCTCCTGGTCTTGGTGGACACCTTCTCAGGCTGGGTAGAGGCTTTTCCCACAACTAACAAAAGGGCTGAGACAGTCTCTGATCTCTTCCTCAGGGAGATCATCCCCTGATTTGCTGTTCCAACCTCCCTTCAGTCAGACAATAGTCCTGAATTTACTTCCCAAGTTTCTCAAACTCTATCTAAGGCCCTAGACATCCCCTGGCATTTTCACATTCCCTACCACCCTCAATCCTCAGGTAAGGTAGAAAGAACTAACCACTCTTTAAAAACCACTCTTGTCTGCTGGGCAGTGGTGGCGCACGCCTTTAATCCCAGCACTTGGGAGGCAGAGGCAGGCAGATTTCTGAGTTTGAGAGTTCAAGGCTAGCCTGGTCTACAGAGTGAGTTCCAGGACAGCCAGGGCTACACAGAGAAACCTTTTCTCGAAAAACCAAAAAAAAAAAAACAAAAAACAAAACAAAAAAAACCCCACTCTTGTCAAACTGTCACAGGAACTTCACCTTCACTGGGTAAAACTCCTACCTCTGACTCTTTTCAGGCTACGAGCCCTTCCCAAGCAGCCTCTCCTCATCTCACCCTTTGAACTCATGTATGGTTGTCCGGTCTTAACTCCTGGTCCTTCACCTAAATGCTCTCCCCTCCCAGACCATCTGCTCACCCCATTACTTTGCCACCTCTGCTCTGCTCTCTCTTGTGGAACTTTGCTGACCACCATCTACCTCGACCACACACTGTCTCCTGTCCACTGCCTGTCAACATTGGAGACCAAGTGCTTCTCTCCCCTCCAGATCATCGGCCCACACCCCTCTCTCCCAAAATGGCAGGGCCCTTTTAAGGTAATCCTCGTGACCCCTCCAGCTGCTAAACTTGAAGGACTCCCTCACTGGGTCCACTTGTCTCACCTTAAGCCTTTCATCCCTCCATCTAAAACTGACTCTCCTTCATACACATCAACCCTAACAGGACCATGCTCTACTAAGCTCCAGAGGACATCGAGATCACCCACCTTGTCCTCAATCCCAGAAAATGAGACTCTACTCCGGCAGCTGAGCTCGACCTCACTGGACTAGACATGGGTTTCTCGTCCTCTCCCTGCTGCTTGTTTCTATCCAGGTCAGCCCTCACATCTGGAGGTTCGAGGTTCAAGAGACACAGATAACAGTCTTTCCAAACAGGGTCAGGAAACTGCTCCATGGCCGGATGCCAAGAACCATCCAAATTGCCATCATCCCTATATCTGTTATCCCATCTAAATATTATGTTCTCTATACTTGCTTTCTCTTTGACTAGATAGAAGATTATTGTAGAAACTGGCCAGACGATTATACAGGCCGCCCATATTGGTCTTGTTAGATATATATGCTAGGATCATGGACCAACCATTTCTTCTACCAACACTGCAAGACACTCGTTTCTACATACAAGACCTGAGGGATTCCAGCGGTAGTGCTTCAGAACTGATGGGTGCCAGATGTCCTGACAGCTAAAGAAGATAGTCTTCGCCAGTTCCTCCAAGAAGAATGCCATTTCTAGGGAATGTGAGACCTCCAGTCTGAGATTTTTTAAAAAACCCATATAAAAGCAGATACTGTCTTTTATAACACCCTTTTTAGTCATCCTCCTGGTGTTATTATGTCTAACCAATTTATTAATCAGTTCCTGTTACAGGATGACCAGCCGCTGTCCACAGAGGAACCTGATATACACATCTACCGAGTGGACCCCGATAGTGAAAGCCAGCTGCTCCCCACAACGGACTACGTCCCTACACAGCAGGAAGTAGTTTAAGAGACATGGCGACCCGACTCCCCTTTCACCATCGGCTTCCCCTCCCCTTTTTTTTCTTCTCTTTATAATAAGAAATAGGGAGGTATGTTGGTATCAGGATGGAACCCAGTGACATCACATCTAGGCGACCTAGGTGATCCCCACATCGTTGCCAAGGCAACTGCCATATATTCCCAGAATCCACCTGGCTACCTCACCTTCAGCTGGGAGATGCTACATCACCGCCCATATAAAATAGGCAGAACTCCCTGACCTTGCCTTCTTTCTCCACCACCTTCTCCCATTTCTCTCCCCCCACCTTTGCCCTCTGCCCTGAATAACCCCACCCCACCCACCTTGGAACCATTTGGTCTGATGTTGTCTGTTCCAAGCTGTGCTGAAGTCTAACAATGATGATTGAGGAAGACACCGCATCCACATACAAGAAGAAAAAAAAAAAAAGACCAAAAAAAAAATTGTCATCTGGAGATGTAGCCCAATGGTGCAGTGCTTGCTCCTGTACAAGGATCTGGGTTTGGTCACAGTACTGGGTAGTGTATATATGAGACATCTCAAAGTGGACTTTCTGGGCTCCAAACTTTTATTAGAGTGAGCCACATAGTTATGAGGA